AAACCCACTGGAAGGTCAGCTGTCAGTCGATTCAGACTTGACAGTACAAAATGACAACAAATGCAAAAAAAAAAAAAATTAGCATATGACTTGGCTTGGAGCAAGCTGTTATGTTATCCTTCTAAATCTACTATCATATTTCCTTTTACCCCTACATTATATGCCCAGCGTCTACAGTACTGTGTTCTACCCATGTCCAGAGCTGACCTGGTTTGTTGACCCCAAGTGGTTAATGAGCCCTTGGTTCCATCCACAGGGACTCAACAACTTTGCTGCCAAATTCTTGTCCATCACTCATCCCAGTAGAACCTAAAGCTGAGTCTGAATCTAAAAGAGGTTCTGCAATGAATTGAATTGTATCCTCCCAAAATACATGTATATCATGATATACAATAACCCGCCTTATGTAGTTGACACACCTTTGCTTGCTGAAAGTAAAGACTGGAAACACGGCCTTCAATATGGATTTCATCGCAACACCAAGAAACAAAAAGTCTACCACTGGACCAATAGACAAGATCATAATAAGTAGACAAAAGACTGATGTAATTTTATTTGCATCCACAATCAACACCCATGGTAATGAGAATCAAGAAATCAAAAGACACATCACCTTGGTAAATCTGTTGCCAAGGGCCTCTTCAAAGTGCTAAAGAGCCTTAGCAATTTCACTTGTTTTCTATGCATCTAAAAGTTGGACAATGTATAAAGATGGCAGAAGATGAATCGATGCCTTTGAGTGTTAGTGTTGGAGAGTACTGAATATCTCGTAAACTGCCAAAAGAACAAACAAGCCACTCTTAGAGGAAGTGAGACCAGGGTGCTCCTTGGAAGAAAGGGTGGTAAAATGGTATCTCTCATATTTTGGGCATGTTTTCAGGAGGAGGCAGTTCTTGCAAAGAAACGTCATGCTGGGAAAGGTGGAGGGTCAGAGAAATAGAGGAAGAACTTCAAACAAGATGCCTTGACACAGTGACTGAACCCATGGGTTTAAGCCTATCAGAGACTATGAGGATGATGCAGGGACAGGGCAAGTTTCAGATATGCTTTTCAGAGGGTAACTACGAGTCACATGTACTGGACAGAACCTAAACACAGCACTAACAGAAACCTAATGTGAACATTTTGTAATGATCCCCCAAGATATGTTGTATCAAATAGTTGTTGTGTACCATCAAGTCGGAGCCAACCCATAGCTGACCATGCAGCAGGCATGGGAGGAGGTTGCTCAACCTTCTCCCTCAGAGCAACTGGCGGACTCAAACTGCAAGACTTCGGGATTGCAGTACAATCACCAAGAAATAACCGCCAGGGGAGCTCTGGTGGCCTAGTGGTAAGGAGCTGCAACTACAATCCCAGAGGCACACGGTTCGAATCCACCAGATGCTCTGCCGGGGAAGGAGGGACAGTCTCCTCCTGTACCAGTCAGATCTGATTTGACGGTACATGCACACAAAAATAATAAAATAAAAATTTTTAAAAAATTAATAATAATAAAAATAACTGCCAGGAGTGGAGTACCTCTTTCTGGACCTGGGCACCTGTGCAATGGAATTCCTTCCCACTGGGGAAGGCCAGGACACATAAAGGTCTCCAGGGAATGGCAGGCCTGCAGATGCAGAAGGAAATAAGGGGCTTTCTTCTACCACTGACAGAGAAAGAGGGCCTTCTCTAGAGCTGGCATCCTGAACCTGGACTTCCAGCTGCTTAAACTTATCTGTAAAGTCACCCATTGTGTATCCCTGCTATATAGTCACACAGTTGTTGAGGACTGTAAAGTCAGAATTGACTAACAGCTGATCGTCTAGCAGGTTTTCAGAGGCAGTTACTCTCGTGGGAGGAGATGGCCCATCCTTCACCCACAGAGCAACTGGTGGATTCAAACCGCATGTCTTCAGCATTGCAGTGCAGCTTCCTACCACTAAGACACCAGATAACTGAAAGACTTCCTGCTAACTAGCTCTTGTGAGTGGTGTGCAGGAGACTATGGACCTCCTGTTTGTTGGGCAGAACTACTCGTGGTCAGTTCTCTTCCTCCACCCTCCACTCTCCTGGTTCACCTTCCATGAGATCCTGGAAGGCCATACCTTACAGCAAGTGGGTATGCTCAGAGCATTGTACACAAATGCTTTTTATGGCCCCAGTCAAATGGCACCCTGTTGGTGCCCTGATTTCCAGTCAGAAGTCAGCCTTGACTACCTACAAAAGAGAAATATGGGTGATGAACTCTAGGTACGGAGGTGGAAGTGACCAGTTGGCCTAAATGAAGGCCAGGGATGGCTCCAAAGAGAAGTTGACACTTGGGGTGGACTTGGAAGCATATCCAGGATTCTGATAGATGGAGAAAGATAAGTGGACATTTGAGGCAAAGGAGGTAAAATTCTCAATGGCAAGGAAATGCCCAGTGTTCTCAGGCATGAAGAATAGATCTGTGTGGCTAGGATGCAGCAGGCCTAAGAATGGTCTGTTACAGTGTTGGGCTTCATTCTTTAAATCCTCAGGAACTGGTGAGAAGGGAAATGGTAGGATGCGGCTTGTGCAGGAGGGAAGACCCGGAAGGGTAATTTCTGAGCAGGAACTTGGAGGTCAGTAGAGTCCTGCACCCTTTGAAAACAATAGTATCAGTTTCGACCATCTCCATGGGGCTGAGACTAAGACGGCAAGAGTCTCTTTCCTGTTGAAGGTGACAGATTGAAGCCCAGAACGGCTCTGAGTCCTGGCAGGATGCCTCTGCCCTTTGGGATTGCAAACGCTGGCACAGCTGCTGCAGCTGGGTGGACTGGGGGCAATTCTGAGTGATGAGGACATGTCTGCTTTAACAGCTAGACACCCTCCCCCAAGACACCTTTAATGCTCTCTGCTCTGTCATCCTTCCAGTGGGACTGGATAAGGAAGAAAATGGGCAAAGGGGATTTCCTGTGAGTGACCTGCAACATGTTCCAAATGCTGGCTTCAAAGCTGGCAGCCTGTTTTTCCAAAGTAACAAAAGAAGTCCTATAAAGCCTTAATTCTGTAGCCATCGCTACACACATGATTTATAAACACAGATTTCTTAAGGTAAATACATGCCAGCATAGTAAAAACCAGTTGTCATTGAGTGGATTTCAACTCCTGTCCACCCTGTATGTGTCAGCACTGCGCTCCACTGGGTATTGAGTGGCTGCTTTTCAGGGAGCCAGACTGCCAGGTGCTTTTCCCCAGGTGTCTCTAGGTGAATGCGGCATGCTGACTTTTGGTTAGTGACCAATGATGTTAATTTTTGTAGAACTCAGAGAGTACAGAAGAGTCATAGTATATTTGCATGTTGTAGAACAATCAACATCCATGATAGTGGCACTCAAGAAATCAAAAGATGTATTATTACATTGGGGAAATATGCTTTTAAGGACCTCTCCAAAGTGCTAAAGAGTAAGAATGTCAGCTTAAAGACTAAGGTGTGGCTGATTCAAGTCATGCATGGTCTTTTCAATTACTTCTTATGCATCTAAAAGTTGAATAATAAAATTAATAACAATGACAGAAGAATCATCAATTCCTTAGAATTGTACTGTTGGAAAAGAGTACTGAATACTCCATGGATGACTAAAACCCAAGCAAGTCTGTACTGGAGAAAGTACAATCAGGGTGCCTCTTAGAGGCAAGGATGATGAAACTTTGTCTTATGTACTTGGGACATGTTTTCAGGAGAGGTCAGTCCTTGGAGAAAAACATCCTGCTGAGAAAGGTGAAGGGTCAGAGAAGACCCTCAACAAGATGGATTGATGTGGTGACCATAACAATGGGTTTGAGGCTATCAGATTGTGAGGATGGCACAGGATAAGGCAAAGGTCAGATTTGTTGTTCATAAGGTCACTGTGGGTCACAGACAACTTTAGGGCACCTCATAATAACAGTGCACACACTAAAATAATGTTACATTAAGTGTAATGAACCCAGGCAGAATTATTTTATCATTAATGCTTGAACTATGTAATTTATGTATATTGTCAGGAACATTGCACTTAGGACTCTTTCAAAATCCTTCCATTATTTTACACCAATATCTCTATCTCTCTGTATCTCTCTTTCTCTCGCTCTCTCCTTTGAAAATCCTTCCATTCTTCTGCATGGGCATATACATACATATTCAAACATTTACTTTTATATATTACCCACTGTCATAGAGTTGATTTTTATTCATGTTGACCCTTTATTGGTTTTTTTAAAGTTGTAAATCTTTGCAAGACGAGACCGCCAATCTTTCTCCATGGAGTTATTGGTGAAATTAAATGACTGACCATTTGGTAGTCCAACATATACACACTATACTACCAGGATGCTCACTTTCTTAAAACCACACACACAAATATAGAAAGGAGTGAGTGCTCACATCCTGGTGGTCCAACAGTTGAGTGCTTGGCTGGCAGTTCCAGCCCACTGACGGACTTTAATTTGCTAGGGGGGAAAAAGTGTGTGTGTTTATAGACCTATATGTCTAACCATAAATGCTCTGGCTCGAAAAGAAAATAGATGTACCCCTCCCCTTTTGTTGCCTTAAAAAAAATAAAAAAATAAAATTTTAAGTGAAATCCAAGTCAAGCCCAAAAGAGGGAATACTGATTGGCTGAGTCCATAGAAGGGTTCAGTCTTGGGTAAGCAGCACTCCATTATTCATTGGCTTAAGTAACCAGAAAGCTGTCCACACAATAGAAATGACCACAGAAGGTGGATAATGAGATAAAAACACTTTGAAGCACTTTTAGGTCTGAACAACATGCTAGATATTTGCTGTTTGGTGGTGAGAAGCTTTGCTATCCCTTTTTGCCTGGACATACTCTTACCTCATTCCTCTTTGCTGGGCAATTTTCCAGAGCAAATGGCTTAAAACCATATGTCTCCTTACTGAGCCACTGAACCAGGCAAGAGTTAGGTCACAGAGTCCCAGCCAAAGAGCAAAGAATGTATGAGAGCAAAAGCCTGTCCCATTGAGCCCTCATCCCTAGACCCCCAAAGAGGCTCACCGGGGTCTGCGGAAGGCCAGGCCATACTGCTGACAGGCCAGTCCCACGGTGGGTGTGTAGACAATCGGCATAAACTTCTCCACATCTGAGGTCAACACTCGGTAGAAGAGCTTCTCATTGCGGTCCTGGAGTGTCATTAGAATGATGTACCTTGGAAAGGGGAGAGAGAAATCAACTGATCCATACGAGTCTCATATACAACTTACTATCCATCTGCTAGTGGAGGCTTTCGGGCTGCTATGCTGCTGAACAGGTTTCAGGGAACTTCAAGGCTAAGATGCACTAGGAAGAAGGGCCTGGAGATCTACTTCCAAAAATTCAGCCAACAGAAACCCTATGGATTTGTTGATAGTGTAGTTTCCTTGTGTGTGGGGTTGCCAAAAGCTGGGACAGTTTGACAGCAGCAAACAACTACAGACAGGTAGGTGGTATCAGGGAAGACCTGATACTACTGTTTAGAGAGGGTGAGGGGGTGGGGGCAGTCAAAGATCCAACACTTCATTCCTTCTCAGTGACTTAAGGGCACAATTACCCATCTTCTCTATGCATGGGCTTTGAAATCTTGAGATCTGGAGAATAATACCAGTCTTTCAGGGTCAGTAAAGAGATTCAGGATCATTGTAGACACCTCAGACTGGAGCAGTAGTTAACTTACATAATCCTTTTTGTAAGACATTGTGTAGGTACTGCTGTAAATATTTTACATTCATTAACTCTTCAAAACTTCCAACAACCTGTGAGTGAGTCTATAATTCTTGTTTTATATACAAAGACACTAAGGCATAGAGAAATTAAATAATATGGTCATCACAATTACTTGCTATGTATCAGAGAACTGGACAATAACTAAGGATAACAAAAAAAGAAGTGTTGTCTTTGAGTTGTGTCTCTGCTGGAGAAGAGTCTTGAACTGCCAAGAAAATAAATAGGTCTATCTTAGAGAGGGTGAAACCAAGTTTCTCCTTGGAGGCTAGGATTTTGAAGCTCCATCTCACACACTTTGGGCATGTGGCCATGAAGGCCCAATCCTTGAAGAAGGATATCATGCTCAGAAGTGTGGAGGGACAGCACATGAGAGGAAGACCCCAGAGGAAATGGATTGATACAGTAAGGCAATGGGGCTTGGTGTGTCAGAGTCAGTGAGACTGGATCAAGACAGAGCAGGCTTCAGAGCTGTTGAGCACAGGATTGCTATGAGTCACAGGTGACTCAATGGCACATAATAACAATGTCTAACGCCAGAGTTGAGATTTGAATCTAAGCAGCTAAGTTCTGGACTTTGTACATTCAACCACTATTCAAAATCATTATGTAATTATTATTATATGAATAATAATGTGAATTGAATAATGACATTGTGGTGGTAGACTCATGTAAAATACTTAATTTTTGAGTCATGAATTATCTAGCCTTTCTACCACATAGAACTGAGTCCTGTCATAACTTGAGTCCTTAAGAGGCAGAGTACCAACTGATTTTAAGAGGTATGTTACAAAAGAATCTCTCTCTTACACAGTTCCAGAAGTTTAAAATCTTCAAGTTAATCCTGAAGTCACTAAAGCAAGGAAAATGTCTTCTACTCACATTCCTCAGAACAGATTGGGAGACATCTGAGCACCCAGACAGGGCATGAGACAAGACATGCTTCTATAGGGGAAAAGTCCTGTGCTATAGTGAGAAGTACAATGGGCCGACACCAGGGTCCTAGATGAATCCCAGCACTGTTGTTTACCCGCTATGTGACTGGGGCAGTCATGTGGCCTCCTGGGGTCTCCAGCTCTTTCTGTTCATCAATAGCCTGTCTAACTCAAAGTCACCAGATTCCCTTAATCAGTAGTGTTTGTACAAATCTCTTCCTAACTCTGTATTAAGTGATGTTAAATTACTTGAAATCGGTTATGGTGGGTGCATTTGCACCATAGAAATCAGCATATGCTACATTTTTAGGACTTTATCCCCTATTCTCTAGAGAACTGGTTATTTACTAGCATATAACTTATCCGAAAGAATACAGAGAAACTCCACAGCTCAAGCACCTGCTGAAATGTGGAATTCTTGAGAATGAGCAGGTCCAACTTGCCTACATAGTGTCCAGAACAAGCATTTAGAGCTCCTAGAAACGGGTGCTTCCTTGCCACTGAGCTATGGGATGTCTTTCCTGGCTCATAAACAAGGTTCATCAAACTAGAAAGGATGTCAAACAGAAGGATCTCGGACCCTAACTTTTAGAGTTTATTATCTTTAGAAAAGATGGTTTTACCTTGAACTTTAACAAAAAGGGTAGGTTCTGACTATTCAAAGTTGGGATATGTCTCATTTTGCTGGGTCAAATCACAGTGAAATTTCTGGAGACCTGGTCTGAGTGGAATACAAAGAAGAATTTTTGGCCTGGACTGTAGGATGGCCATGGAGTTTATGTGAGTAATTTCTTAGAGCTTTGAGGACAGCGAAGGGTGGACAGAAGCTTACCTATCCATCTCTGCTCAGAAGAAATGGATGGTATGAGTGGGCCACTGAAAGAGAGGTGCAGACCAGTGTGAGATGTTGTTGATTCTGCCCTTATAAAGGCCATTATACCCTTGTGGTATATAATGATCAAAGGCTATGGATCTATAACTCACTCTCTCATTGCTGCCAAGTTGGAACCAACTCATCCAGCTGATCCTCCAGAGGCTGTAAATTTCACAGGAGGGGACTGTCCATCTTTCTCCCTTTGAGCAGCTGGTGGGTTCAAACTGCCTGCCTTTGGGCCGACAATTCAACTCCTTACACACTGGGCCACCAGAGCTCCCTCTGTAAATATATAGGGGAACCCTTATCTTCTCCATCATTTTTATTGGTGCCCAATAGATAGTGAACATACTTATTTAACAAATTCTTACATGTTGCTTACTACATGTTAAGTATTGTTCTATGCATATCACAAATATTAATAACATTTTCTCCTTACAGAATCCCTATCGGTCAATTAGATACCATGGATATCTTTATGGTTTATATCAGATGGGGAAGCGATGACTCACAGAAGATAGATACCTTTTGCCATCAAGTGGCAGAAAGAGGATTTGAACTCAATGTAGTACCATAGTCTCATTCTAGGCTCTACACGTTATTGTAGCTGTGGTGTAGATGAGAGGTTAAAAGCTTAGACTGTGGGGCCAGACCACCTATGGCCTGCATTCAAATTCCAGTCCAGTCAACTCGTAAACCTTCAAAGCGGATGAAGTTGACCCTGTGATTTTCCAATTGGTCCGTTGTATCTATTGCTACTGGGAAGAGTTCAGAGGGGCAGTGTTATTAACTGCTAACTAAACTTTTAACACATGGCATAGTGGGTCCTCCCAAGGTGCCACATGTCCATTTCTCCTCTCCTCCTCACTCCCTAACTCATCTTGTTTTTCTGTTCTGTGAATCTGGGCCTGGTGTTACTTCCTTAACACACTTATCTCCATGTCTTTCCTCTACATCTTCCCTCCAGGTGACCTACCACTCAAGTCCTACCAGCAGATGGTTTCTAACACACCACTGATTACAATTCAGTTTCACTTTTCAGTTTTCAACTTTGCCTAGATCTTAGAGGCCTGGTCCCCGGATTCATTTCTTTATAAGGCTGGCCTTGGTCCAGATCTCTTGATTCAGCCCTTTCTAGCCTCAGAGCATCTCTAAAACCCCATGTGGGCCATAGGGATGGCTCAGCCCAGGGTGTGGGTGGAGAAGAGATTTCAGGCACTGACTTGTCCAGGTCACTTTGCTGCCGCTCGTAGGATCTCATGATCCGGAGAAGCTGGACATCCTGGCTCAGGAAGCACGGGGGGATTAGGCCGTGGATTCCAAGTTGTATCCTTTCTTCGAGGGTAAAGGCCATGCCCTGTGGAGAACAAGAAAGAAACATCCATACATAAATGATGTGCAGGAAACCAAAAGACAGAAAAGATTCCATTCAGAGCTGGGCATGGGTTGGTGAGACTATAGAGAGAGTGCTGGATTCTGGTCCCGCCTCTACTATTGAAGTAGCCAGGCAATCTCAAGCCACTGACTGACTTTGCTGAGACTCAGATTACTCCATGGACAAATACCTGCACATCTTTCAAAAAAAGTCTTCATTGTTTAAGATCATTTCCTATTTACAGAAAAATTGGAAAGGTAGGACAGTGTCCACAATATTTCCTCTCCTGGTTTCTTTCTCATATAATTGACATTTATGATGCATTTGTTATAATTAATGAACCAATATTAACGAATTATTGTTACCTGAACTCCATACTTGATTCTGATTTTCTCACCTAATGTCCTTTTTCCGTTTGAGAATTCTATTCAGGATATGCTCCATTTGGGCTCCTCTTAGCTGTGACACTTTTTCAGACTTTCCTTGCTTTTGGTGAACATGCATTTTGTCGGCTACTCCTCTATTAGAATTTACAATGTGGCTCAGGTTATGGGTTTTGGGTGATAGTTTATGGTTTCACAGAGGTAAAGTGCCATTTAAGAAGCCCACCAGTTGCTGCTGAATTGATTCCAACATATGACAGTTTCACGTGCTGCATAATAAAACTGCACTTAATGGATTCTCACGGCTGCAGTCTTTTGGAGACAGACTGCCAGGCCTCTTCGGAAGTGCCCCTGGGTGGATTTGTACCACAAATCTTCCAGTTAGCAATCAGAGACTTAACTATTTCTGCCACCCAGGGACTCCCATTTAGATCCCATCATATAAAAGGTACATATAACATGATTTATCCCTGCTGATACTGGCCTTGATAACCTGACCGAGGCAGTGCTTGTCAGGTGTCTCCACCACAAAGTTGTTTTTACCCTCCCCCTTTCTTCATTGTACTCTTTATAAGAAAACACTATGTACAGTCCAGGGAGCTCTGGTGGCTTAGTGGGGTTGCACTGGCAACACAAGGCAGATCAGCTGCTCTGTGGAAAAGATGGGCAGTCTCCCCCTGTGCGATTTACAGTCCTGTAAAACTTGCTGGAGGGTGAGTTATGGTTTGGTTCTGACTTGATATGAGAACAGCAATATGTACAGTCCACACTAAAGGAGCTGTTCTCACAGGGGCACACGCTTCCCCTACCTTTACCCAAGGTGACAAAGGGTCACACAAATTCCAGGTGGCTCAGCTGAGGTGAGGCCTGCTCTGACACTGCTTGGAGTTCCTGGACACACCTTCCTCCACATTCTCATGGAGGGACTGGGGCTCCTTGGTGACAAGAATCAACAAGAAGCTTCTGAGGAGCATAGGGTATGTGTAAGAGAGCTAAGGACATGCTTTTGAGGTAGCATCACATCCTAGTGCTATCTGGGTTAGTACAGTTAAGATGGGCCATGCTGTATTCAAGAGGATCCTGGTGGTATAGTTAAGGCCTTTGACTGTGAACAGAAAAGTGAATGGTTCAAATCTTTCATGCAACCTGTCTGAGGGGGGAAAAAAAAGATGTGACAGTTTTCTAAAAAGATTTCAGCCTTTGAAATCCTGTGAAGCAGTTCTACTTTGTCCTATAAGCTAGCTGAGATCGGAATCAATTCAGCAACAATGAGCTGATGAGCTCTGGGGGCGGGGGACTCATATTCTAGTTAAACTCCTATCCTTGGTTTTGTTTTTTTCTTTATTTTAAAATTTATTTTAAAATTTTTTTACAACCCCCTATTCTTAATGAATCCAACATAACACAAGGTTATTCCAAAAAATGAAGAAGGTCCGTGGTTCAAATGTAAGTGAGCTCTCTGACCTTGTGGTAAGGGGGTGTACTGCCAACCCAAAGGCAAGTGGCTCGAATCCACCGGCTCCTCGGAGGGAGAGGGATGGACAGTTTCCTCCTGTGGGATTTATAGACTCTGAAAACCTGCTGGAGGGTCCATTATGAGTCAGTTCTGACTAGACAACAAGAGAGAGAAAGAGACTTTTTTCTAAAGGACAAAAACCCTTTGGAAGAGAGCCATTAGAATTCCGTTTATTCTTTCAATGTCACCTACAAAATTCTCATCACAAATTCTTTGATAGGGAGTTCAAACACAGAGAGTCAAACTTATAGACTGATAATCTGAATCTTAGAGTTATGTGATCATAGGTTATGATCAGATATAAGGAAAGGACTTTAATAAACATCCATACTGTCCTCATGCCCATATCATGAGGGAGGGTTTACAGTTTCTAAGAAGAATAAGAGATGTTACACACCTCCCAGAAGAGCCGTGGATGAGCATTAACATTACTGGTAAGTATATTCATTTTTTCCTGGACACAGAGCCTACTAATTGGTCCTAAAAGCCTT